AAGAAAATAAACTTCTGGCTTGTCAAAAAAAAAAAAAAATTCTATAGTTCAATGCACTAAACATGTGAAAGGAATATGATTATTTTAATTATTTATTTGAGAAGAAAAATTTTGATGGATGTAACCTTTGCTTAAATATGGACTCAAATACTCCTATTCTATCAATAAAGTTTCAATGGTGTAATAATATTAGAAAAATGGACCCGTCAATATAATTAATAGATTTAAACCTGCCTTCATTTTGTTCCCCATCACTAGGGCAAGTGGCAAAGGGCCACTTTTGTACGTGGATGAACACTAGAATGGTGGTTCAAACTCCACCATTTACTTGGTAGTTTCCAATTTCCCCAACCCCATTCCCATGTGCAATTTCCTAAAGTTCCAAAAAAAAAAAAAAAAAACCTCCATTGATTTGAATGAATTAATTAATATTTGATATGCCAAGTCGATGAGATTTTTTTTTAAAAAAAATATTATGTAATTTAAATTGTATTAATTTATACAACTATAATTATTTGATGACCTTATTTAATGACTCCTAATTTGATAATTTATATACAACATAAACTATAAAATAAGATACTTAAAAGAGAGAGAGAGAGAGACTCTAAACCAGATTCTGGCTAATTAGGTGACCCTAAGAACCTGAGACCTCGAGTGTTTATTTATTTATTTGTTTTGCAGTCAAGAAAGGTTGGATTTGTATCATATATCTCGTAAAAGAAGTAACCAAATCGTTGGGAATTGTATTTTATTTAACAAATGGTTAATTTCTACATAATAAATTAGAAGAGTCAATAGTTTTAAGTAATTTACCAGTAAGATCTCCCATTCAAATAAAGCAAGATTCAAAAAGATGAAAAGTAATTCATAAAAAAATTCCTCAGTTCCAGAAAATTAAGGTGATGTAATTTTTTATCTCAAAATAATTTTCATTTTGAATTTTTTCCACTTATTAAGAATTTGAGAACATTTTTGTTATTTATGTATAAAGAGAAGTAAAAATTATGGTGTTCTAACATTAAAAAGACATTTAGATTAGCTATTTTTATATAATTGATAATTGGTAATCAATAGTCAGTGATTGATAACTATTGTTATCTATAATTTAAAGTGTTTAATTCGTTCTATTAAAGTCAACATCTGATAACTGTTATTCAAATTCAAAAACAAACACTCCTAACTATTATTCAAATTCAAAAACAAACACTCCCTAGATTAGTAAAACTATTATTGAAATTGTTTAAATAGCTTTAATAAAATCTTCCTTATCCATTGATTTATTATATTGATTCATTTAGAGTTTTAAAACTTTTTTGTTATCAAAAAGTTGTCAAAATATTTTAATGTTTCACAATCTCTTATTTGCATTATCTTAAAAAATAAAGATATAACCATTAATGGAGAATGTTAAAATAAAAAATAATTTTATCTATTTTTTAAAAAAACTAAACAATTATCAACCAGACCTGAGGCCCAATGGTTGGTCCCAAGCCTTAGGGCTTGTGTGAGGCGGAGGTCAGGGCTTCAAGCCTCGCTACCGCCGTGAACTCCACCAACTTGCAACCTAATGGTTGCGCGCCTCAAATGAGGGGGTGGAACGTTCACTATCCTGAAAAAATTTCAGTTGTTAACAAATTAACTTTACTAATTTCCTAACCATCTACCTGGTCAAAAAAAAAAAAAAAATAACCATTAATGGAGAATGTTAAAATAAAAAATAATTTTATCTATTTTTAAAAAAAACTAAACAATTAAAAATAAGAATAATAATAAATTGGATCAAAATTTTAGATTAAAATTTGAAACCAATGATATAATATAAGTTATATCATTTAAAATATTAAAAGATAGATTTTATATTATTTAATGATTAATTCTTTTTTTTTTAACCCATGATGTTATATACAATAATTAATTTAATAATATAACATAAATTATATCATTAATTTTAGATTTTCTTTCTAAATTTTTATTCTCCTTACCATTACTTTAAAAATCTAAAAATAAGAAACCGTCATTTTAAAAAATTTTAAGGAAAACAATAACCCTTTTTTTGGGACGGAAGTATGAGCTTGTAGGCATCAAGCAATTGAACTAATCAAAAGTACCCAAAAAGAAAAACAACACTAAATACCAATTTCCACCAAACAAATAGTACAGTAATATAATCAAATACTCTTTGCAGTATGTACTCTCTGCCGATAGGAACCACAATATTTAGCAACCCACTACGTGGCCTTAACTCTTTCCTCGTAAGGGGATACGCTGGGCTGACGCCAGTATAATTGCTTGATTTTCTTTCAGTTGTACCAGGAAAAAGGAATAGTAGTATAATCAAACTTTCTTTTAAAATTGGAATATATCTATATATAACCCTCCTTCCAGTTGCCAATCATGTTTTCCCATCTCTCTCCCTCCTGTATTCATTTTCTCTTCATCTAAACAGTACCTTTTTTTTTTTTAACTTTTTCTTTCTCTAAAAATCTCTCTGTTTTCTTGGAGTTTTTTCTGATTTTTATTACAATCCGAATAGGGTTTTTCTATATTCCGATGATCGGATGGGGAGAATCTTTCCCCTTTATCTTTTCCTCCTCTCTTACTGTGGATGGGAGAAGAAGGAAAATAACTAGGGTTTTTCCTGTTCTAATTTGTTTATACAGACAGAGGTCAGATTAGAGTCAGATTCTTCCTTAATTCTTTTCAATCACGTAAGTGTTTTATGTTATAGCCAATGGAATCAAGCCACCTATGAAAACAGACCCCTTTTCTCTCTTCCTCCTCTCTTCTTTTATTTTTATTTTTTTATTTTTTTATTATACAAACCCCATTTGGGTTTTGGGGTTATAAATGATGTTTAAGTTAAGGTCTGTGCATGGATTGATTGACTGACAGTCGTTGTTTGCTGGTGTAGCACCATCAAGATTCACATAAGCAAAATTCAGGGTGTGATTCTTCTCTTTCCCTGATTTTAGTGAAAGTGAGAATCTTGATGATGCTGCATCGGCCATAAACGATTATTTCCGAAGAAAAGCCTCGTCCCTGTCTTAATTCTAGAGTGCAGACACAGTTCTGTTGCCGTCAGGTGGGTATGTATGCAGTTTTCTCTTTCTTTATGTATTCTTTTGACCCATCATAGGGGATGATTATAGCATCTGGTGTGGGGGGCCATTTTTCCTATACAAAAAGGAAAAAAAAAATCTCATTTCTTTGCAGATCAAACATATATATACTACATATTGCAAAGAAGATGATATAAAGATAAGATTTTTCCTCTTCTTCCCTT